TAATAAAAACACAATTCTAAATGTGTATTATGTAAATAGTATGATAATTATGTTACAGAGGTTACAGAATCCCTCTACACTTCCTTACACACTATTTTTTAGATTGATTCATTTTCCAAAAAGTAACACTATGCATATTACACCGTTAACTTAGAGTAAAATATATTTATTTATTTCTATTGATTGTATGATTGACAGTCATTTGATTTGCAACGACGATCTTCTCGTGAAAGTCGGATCAGTATTTAATTTTCTCAAAGCAATTTCGAAAAAAGAACACTAGAACACTGCAGAAGGAACACAAACAGACAATAACACACACGCAGTAATGAAGGAGGAAGGCTCGCTGCACTATAGATCAGAAAGGCCTTTCCATGAGAGTCACACATGAGCTGCTTCCATTCTGTCCATCAGTGTTCACCAATGACGCCTTTCCAGCTGGCTTTGGACAGCTGGGGTCGGTAGATTGGAGCCTTCAAGGAAAATCCCTTTGTCTCCAGACTCTTATGAGGTGCAAACACACAACTCTGTAACGTAAACCAAACAATGACAAATGCAAATCTGCGGGGAGTTTGAGACGGCAATGTGTTAACAGCCAGTGGAATCTTTTGTTTGATCATATTTTTTTGAAATAGCAGTTTGTTAGTTAGTCAATTGTAAATACTACTCCCGTTTGTACGTTAAGCGCTGCAGCCTGAAGCTTGAGTAACCATAGAGACTGGAAGCTATGGGAACAGGTAGCCTGCCTCTCTCAAAACTTGAATAGACCTTTACAATCTTGACACAAACAGAAATATTTCAGTTATTTCGTACTGACATTTGCAATTACCTATTCTACCATAGCATGGTAACCAACAGACAGTTTTAATGTGAGTGCTGGACTGATGGACACACTGTCCATCAATAGTTACCTGATTGATACTCTCATCTAAATCTCACCCTGGAGGTTTTGAGGTCCTTCTTTGGGATCACAAATGGATTTGTGCAATTAGAAAATAATATATATTTCTATATACATTGTTTATGTTGACTCTTTTTCTACTTTTTCTTATTAGGAAATATTAGGCTTTAACCCTTCTAGTGACTCCACTGCCTGTGGACCATTATTACTTTTAGGCAAAGGCTGAACATCATCATCCTACTAGGCTGCTTCTTTTTGGTTGGCATAACTTGATAAACTACTGTTTTTTGTTGTAATATAAATGTAAGTCATTCCACTGCTTTCATGTTGTCAAGGTGAACATTTGATTTAAAATATTTCACTTTGTGTGGGTTAGCATTTCTTGATTCTGTCATCGTGTTGGAAACCACCTTTCTCCTGCAGCCAGTGACCCAACACCACACTATATATATCGTGGACAAACATAGATTCTGGGAAGCTTCAACTGGCCTCGAAATACTGTAAACTACTTCAGGTCTGAAATTAACATCTAATCATTGCTCAACAGCAGCAAAACGTCTAAATTAGGCATGTTGGCATGACAACTTACAGCGGTTTTCTGTAACCACGCCTTGAGCAGCAACACCTGCATCATTTTGTGTGAGCGGTAGACCTGAGATCAAAGCGTCTATTTGAAACGGAGCATAGATATTTTTATAACGGTTAGGAAAGACTGCAGCGAGAAGCCTCCCAATGATCTGTACTCTCACTTTTGTTTCTTATCTTTTAGACTCCTGTTTAGCATTTCCCACTCTCATAAGAATTTGATTTTAAGCCCAATAAGTGTTTTGATGCGGGGGCCAGACTCCTAAGCTCCTCGCTGCATGGGCCAAACACAAGGGAAGGACTGCCTTGATTTCAGACTGGTGCGCCCTCATTTTCCAAAGAGACAGCAGGAGAAGCACTTTCAGGGGCTTATTTGATTTGCAAACAATTTGCAAACCAAAGGAGAGGTATTTCTGAGCCCCTGCAGTGCTGTTTAGCAGCTAAGCGGTATGTCCTCATTGCGCTCTTTGCTGCCCCCTGAGAGCATTCACATTTATAAACATAAACAAGTATGCAGGCTGGTACCGTAATCTTTACTGGGACCGAGACAGCTAGTAGGTCATTCATTTTTTCAGTTTTAGAAGAACTTTATTATGAAAAAGAAGATGATAAAATCCATCCCATTTTTTTAATGCTTTCATCGAGTGTCTCTGGGGTTGTTCAAGACAAACCTGCAGTTATTCAAGTCAGAAAGCTGTCAGATACCACTGAACCCATGTTTGATTAAATATCCTGACAGTTTTAAGAATTGCAATGTAGCCACACATATCCACGGTTCCCACAGGACGGCTCTCAGAGTTCTCACTTACCCTTTGAGATTTCCCCGCTTCTTCAGAATGGATCCGAACAAAATATGGTACAGTCACAAATGGCTCCCGGAGGATGAATCCTAATGATTCCCTGACTTTTCCCAGACGCAATGACCAGGTTGACATTTGTGGTTGTGAGTGAAACAACTGTTTGATGAAATGACATGACATTTGTTTCAGATGTTCATGTTGTGCAAGCAGAAATAACAATATCTTTGATTGTCCTTTGACTTTTATTATCCAGCACCATTATCCGCTGTACTTTGTGTCCATTGCTAATTTTAGAATTATAACATACCTACAACTAAAATGGTGCTCATGATAAACGTTATATAAACGTTGGCCTGTTAGCCACGTCGTTGTCAGTGTGTCAGCCTTCTGAACATTAATATTCAGCGCGAAGCAGCACTGTGTCCCTCCAGTCTCACAGAGCTGCCAGCATGGCGGCTGACTCTTACTCCGAGTTACTGAACATTGACCAAAATAACAGGTTTTATAAACTTACTGTATGTGTAGTTCTATTCCACTTGTTTTCATTTGTCCATTTGCGTTTGTCATTGTACCTCTAATGGGAATGCCATTATCAGAGTGGGAGGTTTGTGGGCGCACTGTGTGGCCTCAATAAACTGGATATTGTAATTTTTTCTGTGGACCACAGGAGGCCGAGCTCGTCAAAGATAATGGCCCTCCTGATAATGAACAAATAGCTTCCTCTCATGTTTGCCTTTCTCTGCCTAACAGAGTTAGTGCCAATCAGCCTTTACACACCGTGGCGTTGTTTTACCCTTGCTGCGTTCTAAGATTCAATTTGTCTGAATAATGGAATAATCTATTTGAAAGCACAAATTCCCCACTTTTATTTTGCATCACAAACTTCTTTATAAACTAACCATTTCATTCTTGTTTTAAAAAGTGGAGATGTGTGTTTCTGATAGATGCGTGCAGCTCCCTTCAGCAGCTACCAGGTGGCTTGTGGTCAAACGCACAAAGTGATACTTTCTGTGTGTAGCAGAGTCGAGTCCACACAGAGCAGTGACTGTGCGCAGCTCAAAGAAGCTGCTGCTACTCGACACGCCGCCGCGGCGTACCGACACTTTGCCAGCACATCACCGGGCCCTCACACATGACATCATCTGTGAGGCGCTGAGAATTCCTGCCCTTGTCGTCACTACACAGATAACACACTATCCTCGTCCACTTAAGATAAGCTCCAGCAATGATAAATTAATTTAGAGAACCCCGGAGGGAAAGAAATCACAAGTAATTGTTCTTATCTATCAGTCTAAATGTGAACCCAGCTAAGAAATACACTAGAACAAAATCTGCTGAAGAAAATATACAAAAAAAAAATCAAGAATCCCTGTGATTCGCCTGAGTTATAACAGAATCAGGCTGAGATGTTGCTCATTGTCATGCAACCCGTGGTGCTATCTGCCTGTGGTCCACATGCAGTGCTCACTGAAGTGAGCTACACCAAGTCTCTACTGGGGAGAGCATCAAAATGAAAGCAGTGTTGGCAAGATTTCAACAGAAGAAAAAGATGGGTTACCCAAGTTCAGGATTCAAACTTACAGATGAGATGTATTTGGAATTGATTGAGCAGTGATGTTTTAGAGAAGTAATAAAGCATGAAGAGACATGCAGCAATCAACATCATTTATCTTTATATCAGCTGCACTAAGAATTAGTAGTAAATATGTAGTAAATATTATTAGTAATCATATTTGTAAGATTACTTTAGGGGACTTCAGAGACAAATATTTGCATGATGTCATGTGAATATTCTCTGGAACAATATGTATTTACATTTATATTTATTTAACAGAGAATCATGTGGTGGTAAATAACTATTATACATAAGAGTGCTGCTTGATACTATTATTCTGCAATATATATAGTATGTGGGATCATTTATAATTTAGAAACCAACATATCAAGACCCTGATATTTCAGATACTCCTGAATTTTTTAATTGTATGATTATGCCGCTCTTATCAGATGGGAATACAGAGAGAGAGAGAGAGAGAGATACACAAAGGAGAGGATAATCCAGATTTCTTCTGTCTGTTCACCCTCACTGCATAACTTAACTCTGCTACGGATCACAGAGGAGCGGCTTCAAGCTGAATAAAGAAGGGTCATCATGAAAAGAACATGTCCTGGAAACACTGACGCAAATTTGAATGCTTTTATTTTCATGACTTTCATTAACATTAAAAAGATGGGTCATTATTCTGGGCCTGGCCCACTAATGCCGTCCACATTTTGAATAATCAGATAACAGGTTACCAGGATCCTTTGCATATCGGTCCAGTGAGGTTTGGTGAGGGCAGGGGAGTGTTTCCTTAAAAACAGGTGGCCGATTGAAATGCAGGTGTGAGTTACACATGCTCAGAAAGGAAGTGGGGGAGGAGGGGGTGAGGGGAGGGGGGGGGTGAGGGGTTGCTCTGATGTCTGGCAGACATGTCTGGTCTCCAAACACTGACACTACCAGAGCCGGGCTGGCGCCACCGTCTCCAGCTGGGTCAAACAAGATGAGCTGGCGAGCTCTTCCACACTCAGAGGTGTCTCTTTCTGTATTTACGGCCCCCTTAACTCCCCCCTCCCACCCCCACCACCCCCACCACCCCCACCTCAGCAAATAGCATTACATCACCGAGCCCATTCCAAAGCAACAGCAAAGCACAGTGCCGGCCACCACATTTCACTAGTGTCCGATATCTACAATACACTGTTTAGGGATTAACAGATGTAAAATGTCCCCGTAGTATTTCTATATGTGTAATCTGTCATTTGAGGGCGGTCACAGCTGTTGGAGTACACAGGGCTCTCGAATGAAAGCTTCGATGATGAAACCTGCGTGAGCGGATTTGTTGTACACAAGTTGCCTGCCGTTGAGTCACAGCAAGTATTTCCGTATGGATTTTCTTGGGATGTGACATGGGGGGCATTGGGGGTCTCGCTCTCTAAAAAGAACACACACAGTAGGCCCATCTTTTGGGAGTGGGCGGAGGGTCTAAAATAAAATCAGCTGCCACTGTCTGCTAGTTGGACATAGTACTGGGGCAGGTCTCCTACACTGACTGGGATTTGCTTTTGGCTTGGAGCGACCCTGCAGGTTTGGGGGTGCAGAGGCCTTCAAGTGGGATTTTTACTGGCTGGGCTCACATCTCTACATTGCAATATCCTCCTTACCTGGTAGGTGATGAGATGTCTGGGAGCCGTGTTAGAGCTTATTGGATTTATTATCCGCGTACATGAGGGATTTGGGCTTTTCAAATTATGTTTTAATGTTAATGCTCTTGCATGCGACAACAGTATTACAAATCACCTTTTAGTATCTGCAGAATATGAAAGACTGCCACTGAATTATTGGCTGTTCTATAAAATCAATTGTTAAGTGTCAATTGTTCTTGTATTAAGTGCACTTCCATTCAAAATACAGGGTACAGAGGCAAATTATAAATGTTTTATCTTATATCAATATTAAATTAGCTTTGGAAAAGATCAGATTTAATTTGCAAAAAGATGGAGTTCTGAGCTGTTTGTGACAAGGCCAGTAGCCTTTAGATGTTAAATTGATGTGCTGCATTGTCACCTGGGAAGCCATTAGATGAGGAATAATGCAGAGTAATTACAGCAAAAGTCACAAACACAAAATGATTAAACCTAAAACCCTAAAAGGAAAACTTTGACCCACCATCTTTCCTCAATATTTCACTGAGAAACACTACCCTTCACGTTTAAAATAGGCTAGATTTATTTTTGCAAGTACATGGCGCCTAGTTTACTTCACTTTCTTGTTATTTGAGCTCTCAGCCCAACCTAACATGTCATTAAATAGCCTGAGGCAGATTTCTTTGCCAACACATTTTAGTTTTCTACCACAATAATTTACTCCCTATAAATCCATCTCCTCAAGACCTTCATTTTAATATGCTGCACTGCAGAATTTTATGCTTAAGTTTCACTGCAAGTCAAGCTTTGAAGTACAATATGTAAATTACCTTTTAAGAGCTCTGTATGACAAACATTCTTCCCATTCCTGGCTAAAATAGATGGTAGGGGACTGGTGGGCTACACATCCAAATATGCCTAGATAAAGCAGCTAACAACAGTGCAGTACACTGATATTTGCAGATAACTGTTTTCCATTCAAATTAGAGTGCAGCATTTATGGATAACAATTTCAGGTTTCATTACTCAGCTTATTTAATAATTAAATAGTTCATAGTCCAGCTCTCTGTAAATCAAAAAAACGAGTAAGAATGTATTTGCTGTTTAAAAAAAAAATCTGTTCTTTATTGAGTTTTCCAATACTTTGAAAAATGGTATTTGGTGAGTAAATCTATCCTTTGCTGCCTGAAATAATCAATCAAATATGTTAAATATTATTTGCTGTCCCCTGTTCGAGCTACGCTGACATTATTGCTGATATTGACTTCAGTTTACACACGGCTTCAATTGCTAATACACCACATAGCAGACATTATGACATTATCCTTTAATGTAACAGATCATCAAAACAGGCTGTATTCACATGTCATCCTCATATTTGCAGTAGCATAATTAAATCCACGAGGTGAGTTAAGGTGTGAATACTTGACATTGGCAAATGAAGACAAAGTTATTGTGTCACCAACTGGTTTTCTGATGTGAAGTCAAGAGTTGGAATACATAAACATTACTTATTACGTATTTTTTCATCAGATTGCAATACGCTGTATGTTAATGACAATAGTCCTTTGGTCCTGGAGGACGCAATTCATGAAATGACTTATAATTGTGCCTTAGATGAAAAGTAAGATTACAATCAAGCCCATTCATTGAGAAAATATGAGGACTTCAGGCAAGTCATCTCAAGGGACTATTTGAAGGGGACATCCAATCCCTCGGTACACGGACGGAGAAGAATTATTTGGGACTAAACCGTCATTTGTCTGTGAATGCTTCTGAGATACTTTTGATTTCTCACATGGGCTGAATCCACAAATTTCCACCACAGCTTCCAATTAACGTAGGCTTGGACCTGACTGGCCTTTCATCACCATAAAATAACTGCGAATAGAATTATAGATCCTGTACATCCTTTGATTAACTAAATGTCAGGACACCGGATGTTTCATTGGTTAAGGTTGTAGAGAATTTTAAAAGACTCAACATACATCTCATAATGTACAATAATTAACATATCAGACGTAATTTCCACTGTACAGGACATCAGGCATATATTGCAAAAAAAGAAAGTCGGCCATCTTGCACCGTATCTAAAGCAGCCCAGAAAGCACACTGGCTCTTTTACTGTGCTGTGCTGTTTTTTGCTTTGGTTTTTATGTTAAGCAGCCAGGAGGAATGACTGATACCGACCAATGCCTGTGTTCTTTGATTGCCAATGTTATTTTTGTTGACATTTTACTTTTCAGAGAGATATCACGGAATTTATAGGCATTTATTACATTTCAATTTAAAAGCAACAAATAGCAGGGGCTCCTATCCACACCTGTAGGCCACCGTAGTTCTCCAACATGCTTGGATGTGAAGGGGTTATTTTACTTCTTATTTTACATCTTATTTTATTCTATTTTATTCTTACATTGCACAAATTCACGTCAAAGTCAAATTCCTCTAGAACATATGTGACAATAAATGGCTTCTTATTCTGATTCTGATTCTGATTCTGATTCTGATTCTGATTCCGGGTGAGCTGAGGGATATTTAGTTGTTTGCAACCTCACACAAACCACTAGATGACACTAAAACTGACAGTGTTTCTTTACTAAAACAAGCGACAAGGGTTTAATTGAAAGTTTGCTGTTTATTTTTCCCACAGCCGCTGGCAGCGCAGGTTGAACCGGGGCAGGACTTCCTGAAGGAGGTCGAAACCAGAGGAAACCGGATTCACTCCGTGGGCTCAGAGGTCATCCCACTGAGCAACTGCGAGGCCGTGGACCAGCCAGCTGTCCCCAAGCAAGCCGACGCCGCCGCCCCCAGCGCTGTGGGGTACTTTACTTTGTGCATGAACATGCATTGTTTCTGAAACAGAATACAGAGAAGGCCTGCAGAAAACATGACGTATTGTTAGCCGTACGTTGAGAGAGCTCTCCCAGTTTCTTACCTAAATCCAAATGCATTACAGCATATTTTTGTGTGTATTGTATGTTTTTGTGTGTGAGAGAGAGCAATCCGCGCACAGCATCGTGTTCGGCGGTGGTCTGCACTGCAGAATAGCCTTGTTAAGCACCAGTTTGATATCTGGGCATGTAGAAATGGAGGCAGCTAATGATGTTTTCTGCTTCATTAGGTCATGGAGGAGACGGAGGTTTGTTCCCTGCCTGGGGGACTTGCCAGTGTGAGGAAACAATTTGAGACCCGGGAAACTGCAACATCGCACAATGTAACCCAGTTCCATTTTCACCACAGGACTGTGCAGGTACACATGCTGAACATAGTGGGTTCATTCATGAGGCTGAGAGTCGTTAAAAGTCACCTTTTTCAACCGTGGGACTGCATGAAGAGCTTTGCAAGTAAAATACAATATTACATGGAAAATTAACACTGAGTCTCTTCAAAATCTTACATCGATGCTTGAGTGTGTGGGATTAATTCACAGACATTACTTGACATTTCTAACGGCCTCCAGGAAACCCTTCAGGGTGCTTTAATAACCTTTATGTGAAAGCTCCATTCAGCAGAGAGAAACTTAACAAAGCTGAAAATAATGTTGTTTTTTTATTTTGTAAGTGAACAGCTTGACACATTCTTTGTCATCATCTTCCGTCTGGATTAGTCGTTTCAAACTGCCGTGAGCAATCTCGTTTAGCATCATCTCTACATGGTATTCAGTTGTGTAATACTGAAGTCAATCTGTGGCTGCATGAACAATATGCTGTCGCAGAGATTTATCTGCGTATTTATGTATCATGCACATATTCAACACTATGTGTGACGACCAACTGTCTTCATCTTCAAAGGAAATGTCCAACTCTGAGGTGACAACGTCAAGCAGCAGCAGGCAGGTCGTTCAAGGGAGGCAGCAGCAAAGTTTGAACCAAGAAGCAATGGTATTTCAATTTTGCTTTCACTGTTTCTGCACAGCAGGGATAAAAAACAACAACAACAAACCATTCTATTTCAGTGACGTGTGGTATTCATAAGTCAATTTCTTTTTTTCGTTTGTTATATTAATAAATGTTTTCCATTTCTCATTTTGAATTATTTAGGTATCTTACAGTGACAGTAACCTTACATCCAGTTTTGACCATCAAAATGAAACAGGTGGGATGTTATTTAGATATTTTCCTTTTCTGCCATCTGCGCTGTCACAGCCTGACTAACTTAAGACCTGCCCATATATTTGTTTCTTTGCTGACTTCTAGAAGAGGAGTTTCCCCGGTTCACTACAAAAGAACTGAGGGCTCACTTTGAAAAAACGATAGAAGAGGCTGCTGCACACAAACCAATTAAAGTAAGTATTTCCATTTTACTTGTGTTAAGAAGTACTAAAGTATGAAAGAAAGAATATTCAATTCTAGGTAAGTATGATAAGAGATCGTAATTATAGTATATCGTTGCAATCCTTAAGTTTAAGTCCTGGTTGATTTGGCGAAACCTGCTATCACTGTTTGCAACAGAAGGTACGGTTTAATACAGTTAAACAGTTAAATACAGTTAAACGGTTAAATAAAGTTAAACAGTTAAATATAGTTAAACAGTTAAATACAGTGAGCAGGTGACACAGGAATAGTGGACTTCAACAATGACATTTTGATTTAGAGGGGTAATAACAGAATATCGATTTGCCAAATTGCTACTGCTTAAAATATCAAATTCATAAATAGTATAAATGGGGTCTGACTTCATGAAAATCTCAAGGATTATAATTTCAATGGATTTATAAATTTGTGGCTAAAAATATAAAAATAATACTAAAAAAGCAATTTATTCAGTCAAATGCATCCAGGTATTCTGCTGTATGACATTATTCATGTTTTATGATCTGAATTCTACAATGTATCCGTCAATGTAACATACATTGACCTGTTATGAGTTAATGTGATGGATCTATAATTATTCACCCGTAAATATTATTTTTGTTCCTTAAAAAGATTGGACGCGATATCAATCGAGCTAAGTGGTGCTCGAATGTGACACAAAACAACACTGTGACTAGCGAGGTGTGTGAAGCGTCCGCAAACGAGACAGCGGAGGACACACTGGCTGAAGAGGTGGATTATGCTGACTTTCCGCCCCCACCACCTGAAGATTCTGGGTATCTTCCTCCCCCTCCTCCAGACTTACTAGAAATGCCATCAGACAGTGAAAATATTCCGGCGTGCCATTACTCCCCTCAGCCACCAGAACCGACAAAGCTCTCCAAATACCCGATAAACAAAGAAGCTTACTGCAAGCAGAGGAGCATGGCCGAGCTGAAACGGCTTTGCAAGCACATTCATCCTGAGGTTCGTAAGAATATAGAGAAGGAGTACTACAGCGAGTACATTGAGGCCGAGAACAACCAGTCGGAGAGCAAGGAGTTCATGCATGAGGATGATGCCGGCGGTCCCGATGACGTCAACGACGAGGAATACGTGGAATGGGAGGAGATTCTCCCCGGGGAGGTGCAGGCAATGCGATGGAAGTTTGAAAATAAGCCACTGGACACCATTAAGGATGAAGCTCCCGACGACGATGACGACGACGACGACAACAAAATAACCGAGCAGGAAATGATTCTTGGAAAAGATGTGAGACGAACGGCTTGGATGTTTGAGACCAAGCCAATGGACGAGCTGACCTCACACAATATCAACTCAACGGAATACAAAAACAAGTTCAACAAATGTGACAAAGGTGATGTCCGTGCTGCCGCCTGGTTATTTGAAACCCAGACAATGGATACTCTGAATAAAATGCACAAGGAGGAGGATTTAACAAAAGAGATTGTGTTCACAGAGGAGGATGGGAATGCCACTATTTATATGATTGACAATAAGTACATGGAAAGCCTCGGCCATACCGAGACCATTGATGAGAGCCACCTGTTGACACTGAGGTCAGTGTTAGAGGAAATTCATGGGGAGGTGAAAACTGTCACGAGTACCTTTGACACTCAATTTAAGTGCATCATCATGGGACAGTCGAGTCAGATGCTGGAGATTAAGTCTGTGCGTAAAATCGAAAGTGAATTGGAGAACTCCATTGCTTCACGTTGGCTTTTCGATACCCAACCCCTGGACACCACAAGAAGAGAATCTACATCTTTGAAACTCGTTTGCAGCCTTTCCATGGAGGACAGCAATAAGGGGGACTGGGGCAGGTGGCTGTTTGAGATAAAGACACTGGATTCTCTCAACGAGTGGGAAAGCTCAAAAACTGAGATGAAAGACGCCGCCGGAGCGGATGTGCGCAAGCACTGCATGGTGTTTGAAACCCAGCCCATGGATTCTCTGAAGGACGACTCCAACGCGAGGGCCCAGTCTATTGAAGAAATTATCGGGGGCAATGTTAGATCTGCCAGGCACTTTTTTGAAAGCAGCCCTCAGGCGGAGAGGAAAGCCGACCCTGAGGTTGGAAAACTTCAAAAAGCAACAGTAAATGAAGAAATTAAAGGAGATGTGAGACACCAAAAATGGCGCTTCGAGAGTCAACCTCTAGAGCACATAAGAGAGGAGAAGAAGGAGGTTACTCGCACCGTGAATGTGGAGGACGAATTCACACAGGAGGACGGCACCAGCTGCAGGGCAGATGTTCGCAAGAACTGCTGGGTATTCGAGACCAGGCCAATGGACACTTTAAAAGATGATTCAAACACTCAGCTACTGACAAAAGAGGACATTATTGCAGGTAACGTGAGTTCAGCCAGACATTATTTTGAAACAGCTCCAGCTGAGGAGTTGAAGGAGCTTTCAGAGGTGGGCAAGCTGAAAAAAGCAGTCGCACTTAACGAGGAGAAGGGTGATGTCAGACATCAGAAATGGCGATTTGAAAGCCAACCCCTGGAGCAGATCAGACAGGAAAAGAAAGAAGTCCTCCGAACGATTGATCTGGAAGAAATCGACAGAGTTGACGTCTCAAACTACAAGCAGATCTTTGAGAGCACAGATTCAAACTGGAGGGATGAATCTCAAAAGATTCTAATAGAGGGCGCGACCTCCGGATCTGTGAAGGCAAATAAAAACCTGTTTGAGTCCACTTCGCTGTACGCCATGCAGGACAGCTCGGGGCACTTCCACCAGGTGAAGACAGTGCGGCGCGAAGAGGTTGTGAAAGGAGATGTGACGACGTGCAAGTGGATGTTTGAAACGCGACCGATTGACCAGTTCGATGGGAGCATTGATAGATACCAAGTCATCCAGGGCATATCCAAACAAGAAATAGAGTCCGGTGATGTTAAAACCGCTAAGTGGTTGTTTGAAACACAGCCCCTCGACGCCATTAAGTACTTTAGCAATATTGAAGATGAGGAGGTTACGGGGGCAAAAATAAATCTTGACCAGGTGAAGGGTGATGTGAAAACCTGCAAGTGGCTGTTTGAGACAAAACCAATGGACGTCCTCTACGAAAGAGCGGAGTTAAAGGGGGAAAATGAATCTGAAGAGATGCAAAAGGGAGATGTCAAAACCAGCACATGGCTTTTTGAGACACAAGCACTTGACACTATCCGCGACGAGACTATTCTGAAAACATGCACTGTCAATCAAGAGGACATTAAAGGAAAGGATGTGAGGACGGCTTGTTTTCTCTTCGAGACGGAGAAACTGGAGGACCTTTCCCGGGAGGAGACGGGCTCTTTCAAGCGCGTCACCGAGATCGACGTTGCGTCTGGAGACGTATCTGGGAAGAAGTACATTTTTGAAAATCAAACATCAGATATCATGTCTTCTACAACCGAGGAGCTGATGCAAAATCTCAAGAGAGTTCAGAGTGAGGACATACAAAGAGGAAACGTAGTGAACTGCAAATGGCTCTTTGAAAACCAGTCAATGGATACAATACACAATAGCCACGAGGAATACACGAGCAGCCGCACAGTGAATGACGTACAGGGAGGAGATGTAGATAAGGGGCGTTTCATTTTTGAGACCTACTCCTTGGATGAAATCCAGGAGACGGACAAAGAGCTGATGAAAATGCGAAAGATTTCCCGAGATGAGGAGGAAAGAGGCGATGTGAGAAATTACACAATGATGTTTGAAAATCAGCCCCTTTACGCCATTCAGGACAAAGAGGGACTTTACCACGAGGTCACCACTGTCACCAGTGAAGAAGTAACAAGTGGAGATGTGGTGGGAACCCGCTGGAAGTTCGAAACCAAGCCCCTCGACGCCATCAAAGACACGGATGAGGTTTACATCATCAAATCTGTCGCTCAGCAGGATGTGCACAGAGGAGACGTCACCTCTGCTAAGTGGAAGTTTGAGACACAGCCACTCGACAGGATCACTGAAGGAAAGGAAACGCTCGTTAAAACCGTGAACGATATTCAGGGAGGCAACGTCAGGATAAACAAAGATCGCTTCGAGTCTGACAGGGGGTTTCAGGAATCCGTTCGAACGGTCAATGTGAGCGAAATACAAAAAGGGGACGTCAGGTCTGCGAAATGGAGATTTGAAACCCAGTCCATTGACAAGATAAGAAGCATGAGCTCTGAAAATCTGATTGAAACGGTGAAAAAAGAAGAGGTTGAAAGGGGAGATGTTAAACATTCAGTCTGGCTCTTTGAGAAAAATCCCCTTGATCACATTAAAGAGGTAGATGAGGACCAAGGTACAACCAGCACATCACCGGAAGCGATTTTCAAATCGGATGTGAAGACAACCGCGTGGTTATTTGAAACAACACCCTTTGATGACTTCAATGAGACAAAAGTGGAGAAGACAGAAATCGTGGGAAAGAGTGTCAAAGGAACTCTCGCGGAACTTTACAGCCAGCAAATGGTGAAGTCAAAGGGAATACTCATCGAAGCTGATGAAATAGGCGACGTTAGAATGGCCAAATACCAGCTGATGAATAAGGAGGCGCCGGAAATTCAACGAGAGGATGTCATCAGGGGAGATCTGCAGACAATCATGATGAACCTGCTGAACAGGGGAGAGACACACGAGCAGCAGATAGTCATAGATTCAGACGAGATGGGCAATATCAGTTCTACGGTGCACCAGCTATTCAACCAAGAGAGTGACAGCAGTGTTGAAAAGGAGGAAATAGTACGAGGTGACATTCGGGAGGCTATCAACAAACTTTTTGACCAGAGCGGTTCAGCCAAACACGGAATACTCATCCAGGAGGACGAAAAAGGAGACGTGCGGATGACATTGTATTCACTTCTCAATAAGCAAGAGAATGTTAACGTGGACAGAGAGGACATTGTGAGAGGGAACATAAAAAGTGCTCTTCAAAGTCTGTCCAGCTCAGACAAGAATGATCAAGCGATGAAAATAAAGATAGACGAGACGGAAAAGGGAAACGTCAACTTTTACTCCACGTGCATCGAATCTGGGGCCCTCGACTATCTCAAACAGCTCCATGTAGGATCTGATGAAACTCTGCCTGACAGGGTAGAAAAAGAGAAGATCCTCGGAGGCGACATCAAGGGCACCAAACTCATCCTCGGCCGCAGTCAGACGCAAGTCGATCGCACGGTGGAGGACGTTGTACCGGGTGATGTTCAAAACCAGGTCAAAGTTTTCATGTCGGAACCGACACTCTCCTCGGAAAGACTCCAAAAAGAGGAGGTGGTCAAAGGCAATTTGAAAGCGGCTTTAAACCTGTTGTCCGAATCAGCAAATCAAACGGTCGTTGTCGAGAAAGAGGAGGTGGTGAAAGGCAACATACCGAAAGCCCTGCGCAGCCTGGAGAAGGCTCAAAAGAGACACAAGGAGGTGGAGAAGCCGGATATCGTACGGGGAAACATCAAAGGGGCTCTGAGGTCGCTTGAAAAATCATCGACGTCTCGAGTCGAAGCCGCTCTCGAGGATTTAGTTCCCGGAGATGTGAGGGCCACGCTGAAGTCCCTGGAGCTGGCAAAGCAAACGGTGAGGGGGGTCGAAAAGGAGGAGATCGTGAAGGGCGACATTCGCACAACAATGCAAAGTCTGCAGGACGCCTCTAGTGAGAGGAAGACGTGTCAACAGGAAATAAACGTTCAAGGGGACGTCAGAGGGACAATTCAGCTCTTACTGGAGCCTCCGTCTTCACCAAAGATGGAAAGGAGCCCGAGCCTTGAGCGGGATGTTAAGGGTGACGTGAAGATGTCAATTAAGTCGTTGTATGAGACGCAGGATCAGTCGCAGCTAGAGAGAGAAGAGGTGGTAAAGGGTAATGTTAAAGGCACCATTAAATCGCTGCTGGAAACGGCACAGCGTGAATCTCCCAAAGTCAGACATGGATCATACAGAAGAGTTCGAGTTAAGCAGAGCCCTCCGATTAAAAATCTAAATGCAGATGCAAAGAGGAACGTGCAAAAGATAAAAACTGCCGATTCAGAAAAGCACGTAATCTCTAATGACTCTGAAATTGTTCGAACAATCTCAAGTTTGGAGGAGCAGTCGGCTCAGCAATCAACGACTGTGTTGGAGCACAAAACGATTGTCCAAAATCATGGCATCAAAACATTAAAGACGGAGTTTCGTAATCTAAAGTCGAAGGGGAAGGGGATGAAAAAAGTCGATAAAACCAAAGTAAAAACCGACTATTACGTCCTGAAACCACACACGCCAGAGCCCGACCTGCCTCTCCCACCACCACCAGTGACAGACGCTGACCTTCCTCCTCCTCCCAGTGTTGATTCTGACATCGATTGCCTTCCCCCTCCACCACCACCGCTAAACAGTGAGCAGGACTTCCTGCCACCTCCACCCTCTCAACAAGAACTGGAGCGCATGCCAACGCAAGCAATTCATCGCTCACCAGCAAAAGCCAAAAAGATGACGGTCAAAAAAGTGAAAGCTCCAGTTTTGTTGCCAGTCCCAAAGCTGGAGCCCAAAGTGGAATTTAGTAAAACAGAGCAGGTGGAGCTCACGTCCAAGAAAATTATAGAAATCAGCCAAAACCAATCAAAAGCAACAACACACACAACAAAAACGGTTTCATGTGAAACCCCACCACTGCCTGAGTCACCAAAACCGCCGAAGAAAGTCTCCCCTGTGAAATTCACCCCTCCGCCCTCTCCTCCGCCCTCCGTGAGAGGGAAAATGACGAAATTTAACACTCCATTGATAAAAGCAGAAGGAAAGTATCGGAAGCTGGTGGAGGACAACGCCCCCCCAACCACTCCAACGGCCACCTACATACATGACTCAGTTACCGCTGCCCTTGAAATGCTCTCCACCATTGAAACAGAGCAGTCAAACGACGTTGCATCAGAAAACACCAAGGAGCGAGTGGACAAGGAGGCATGGAGTGTTCATTCAGACTCCCTGTCGTGTGATTTATCTAAGCGCGTTGTAGTCGCAGGCGCCACCCGCAGCGACGTCAGCGCTAGCCACGAGAAAACCTGCACTGAAACATCAGTTGTGTCTTCTGCCAAACAGCAAATCGTCTCCAATGAGACATCAGAGGTTATCTCCATCCTGAAGACCTCATCGGTGTCATCCGTTAAACAACGGACGCATGCGACTACACAGAACACTATTTCCCTTTCCTCCAAGCAGTCGGTTCAGTCTGTCGTGGTTGACCAAGTCCACACTTCGACGAGCGATGTCGCAACAACTGAAAGCGCGTTGGCTGACAGGAAGAAGGATTTAAAAAATCAAAAAACAAAGCGCTCAAACAAGCTCTGTGACAAGAACGAAGCTGAAGTGCACTGTGATAAAAGCCATGTAGAGAAGAGCGAAAGCAAATCAGAATCTGAGAAAAAAGAGAAAAATGTGAAAGAGTCCGGATCCCCACAGCGTGACAACAAGAAGAACTCTGATCATCCTCCTTCCAAAGGCCAAGAGAAAGTCTCCGATCAGCAAATACAAACAGAAAAGGCAGCTGCCAATTCCAATGTAAAAACAGGCAAATCAAATCAAAAGGGGAAAAAGAACCATAAGCAAGAAAAGCAAACAGAGATGAAAACGTCCAGTGAGTGCGAGAAACAAAGTGTTGATGTCAAGGTGAACGTGAAGGAAGCTGCTGAGGTGAAGGTGATCAGTGAACATAAAGAAGTAAAGACAGAGATAAAACAGGTGATCAAGAAAGTGACTTCCTCTGCTGCTGCCGCCTCCGCGACCACCGTTACTGCGACCGACAGCCAGCCGCAAACTCCTGCTCCCGCAAAAAAGAAGAAGAAGTCCAAAAAGTCTAAAGGGGCTGCACAGCCAGGTCAAGGTAAGGAGATTTCCACAGAATCAAAGAGAGACGTCATAGATCCCAACAAAGCGACATCTGAAAAGTCACAACAAGCTGAAGAAACAATTTCCAAAATTAAAAAAAATTTAAATGAAGAGCAGATTGAACTCGACAGAGAAGTCAAAGACGAACTGAGTGTTCAGCCACAAAAAGCTCTTCCAAAGCCGGGGAAGGGATCTCAAACTAAGAGGAAAGAAGTGACAGCTGTTCAGCAGAGCGAAGACGATCCGCCAGAAGAAAGTCGGGATGTCCCAATTACAGTGACAGGCAGGTCGGGGCAAAATGACCGGGTAAAGTCCACAGCAGGGAGAACAGAAGCATCGCAGAAGCAGGAGGCCCAAGTGTTAATCTCTCACACCGCAGAGACACAAAGAGTTTCAGAGGAGACTGATTCTAAATCCGCGAAGGCTCTGCTCAAAGCACCTCCAGGTTGGCTGATGAATCCCGAAGGAATGTGCGAACTGGAGGAATCTGTGGTGGAAAGTGGTTCTGAGAAAAGTGAAGAAAGCCTTTCTCGTGTGAGTAAACTATCAGAGGCGAACCTGATGCACCTGGAAACTAATGAAACAACGGAGGAGCATGAATTTGAGCAAATATCGGAAACATTTGTTTGCGGCGGGGCGACGGCGGACACGTCCCAAATCAGTATCGTAAAAATTGAGAACCAAACAAAGGAGACGACCGCCCACAAAAAACGGAATGAGGAGGCGAGTCAGAGCAAGCCGGTTGACCTCCGGGCTCCCTCGCCGTCACTGAGGATGCGTTCGCCGTCGCCGACGTTCATCACCATTGAATCCACGCGAAGGACGGGCTTGACCGACCGAGTGACGCCATCCCCCACCCCGCTGCACAGGCCGCACACACCTCCCACACCGCCGCCGCGCCGCTGCGACACCCCGACGTCGCGGCTCACCAGAATCACGCCCTCTCCGACTTTTGACAGGGCGGAAAATTTGGCCCGGCTCAAAGACGCGACCGCCAAACTCTCGCGCGGAGTGACCCCGCCTCCGCCGCTGCCCCAGCAGGCCTCGGACAGGAGGTCAGAGATCGTGGAATCGCCCGCGTCTTTCCTTCGGCAAATCAAAATTGAGCCCCAGCTTGTGGAGGCCTCAGAGACTCTTGCAACAGAAAGGGAGGCCGATGTTGATTCTGCGCATGTAGAGGAAGATCAAGCTGGTGTTTCAGACCGTTTGAATGCAAGTGGAATACAAAGTATTTCCCACCCGCCATTTTGTCAAAGTGACCCAGATCTTATTGAAGCTTCAGATCTTCCCGAGGCATCATCTGTATCTGTCAGGGAAAAGAAAGAGTTTTTTGAAGAAGCTCAAAAGGCTGAAATCCATAAGACCTATGTGCGAAAAGAGCCCATTGCTATTCCTGAAAGATTAGGCCCAGACACGGACGACTTAGTGGCAGAAAATGAGAGCCAAGAAGATAATGAGCTTCCCAAGGCGGACCTGTATGATCTTGCAAACAAATTTGAATCATCAGAAGAGGAATTATTTATTAGAAAAGAGCTTATGACTCTCACAGCGCGGTTTCACGATGACACTGAAAGCACGGAATTTGACGAAGAGAAGGCAAACATCTTTGAACAAGAAATGCCATCTTTTGACATCCGGGCTATTAAAAATGCTTTTGAACTGGGCGAGCAAAGTTCCTCGCACAGAGAGGAGAAAGGGGATCAGGAGGAGACGGCGTCGTGCCTGATTGAAACAACAGCCGACACTTCAAAGCCAGAAAGTCCGCTAGAAACAAAGAAAGGATCGCGGCGGAGCAGCCCCCTCCCTCCTCAGCAAACTGAAGCAGATGTTGTGCCAGCAGAACCGTCGGCCTTTTCTGGAACCACGTCAATCGCGGAACGATTCTGTGATGTTGATGAGTTTGGTAACAAGGTCACCGGGATGTTGACAGCTGTGTCCGAGCACAGTGTGTCAACCCAACAGGCCCCTTTCTCCTACGCTGATGCAGTTAGAAAAAAAGCTGCATCGTCGAAGCAAGCCGACACATTCGATGACGATGCTACTGAGATGTTGCTGAGTAACTTCCGGAAAACCTGGACAGAGAGCGAGTCCGTTTTCAAGAGTCTCGGCTACACGATTTCGGAGGAGACGACGTCACAGGTTGTGTCACATCAGACGGAGATTGTCTCATCTGGTAAAGGCCTGCACAGCATGAAGCAACATAAATGAATAGCATGGACAATGGATGAAAGGGATTTATTTGAATCAATTCAGTTTGTGGTGTGTTACAAAAGCGGTATTTCCAATCACTGCATTGTGTGAATTGCGACAAACAGAGCTCAAGCCTATAAGCAGCTCCAGCCATGCGAGCAGCTCGGTCAGGCTTAACTTAGCACAGCAGTGCTTTGGGCCAAATTAGCATGCTAACATGCTCCCGATGGCAATGATTACCTGCTAATGTTTAGCAGGTCATTCCCAGGTCAGGGTGTTCGCATGCTCACGCGTACTCATTGGAACTAACCGCAAAGTGCAACAGCGGCCGATGGGGACGTCATGACAACTGCGCAAGAGGCAAATTGTAGTTTCACTCACATGATTATGATTCATCCTCTGGAGAGCATGAATGTTTGAACCCAGCGTCTTGGTAGTCCTTCCAACAGCAGTCCTCTAAACACAGTTTCAAAAACACTTGTTTGACAGTTCATCCTTGACAGAAGGTGAAGCAGTTTTCTGGAACTTTAACTGCATCTCTTGGTCCTCGTCGGTTATTAAAGGATCGTATTCACTATGTATTTATTCAGGGGATCTTCCTCTCTTTGTGACAACCTATCATGTGATAGCAACTCAACCAGCTCTATTCACAAAAAGTCTATGACATTCAATTGAAAGCTCTGGAAAAAATCATTGAATTAACTTTTTGTGCAACGCATAACATGAGGATGATAAATGATGATGATGATCAATTTTAAAATAATTGGTCCAATGGTTCCTAATAAGCACAGCAGCGTTTTCTAGAGGCTGTCCATTAGCCGACCATCTTTGCATGGATGTAAGTGGGTCGAAGAGGGAACACAATCAAATGGACTGATGTATTGATTCATAAAGTGGCCTTGTGAATGTTTTATTTAAACAAATACATGTACAGTGCGAGGTACGCTTTTGAATGTATATGTCATGAATTGTATTACTCTGTACAAATACGATTAACTACAATAATACAATAATTTGCATTTAATCTCATTCAAACAGGTTCGAGTTCCAAAGTCGGAGCTCTGCACAGTATGTCGGAGGAGAGCTTATCCGATGGATGCTGTGATAGTGGACAGAAAAAAGTACCATAAATCCTGTTTCTGCTGTGAGCACTGTGGAAATAAATTAAGGTGAATATTGCATTAATTCAAATTGACACATTTGAACATTGTTAATTAGTAAATGCCTCTGTGTTTTATTGACAGTATAATTAAGTATTGTCATTATTATAATTAATTACCTATTCTAAATGCAAAAAAAATCCTTTCTCTTGTAGCTTAGGGAATTGCGTCTCTCTCCATGGACACTTCTACTGCCTGCACCATTACAAACAACTACTCAAATCTAAAGGGAGCTTCGACAATGGACTTGGGCAGAATCCCCCCGCAGGAAGTAGTGGACCCATCCCCTCAGAGGAGAAACCGGAATGGAGAGATTCCGTGAGCAGCCTGAATTCAGTAGACAAAACACACAGCGTTGAAAATAATGTGACAAAAATGTGCGATGAAAGCAAACCGCACGGCAGCAAAATATCTGTAGTTTGGCCCCCACAGGCCGACCACCTGAAGAAAGCCTTTAAAATAGAAGACGACATTCAGCTAACCAAACCACAGTGGCCCCCTCTTGACAACACTCCCAGATCACCCAATCAACAACACAGAAAGGCTGTTCCGAAAAGTATCCTTTGAAATAAAATCACCAGCCGTCAACTAGACATTTTAGTCAAATAAACCCAAAGAGGATTCTCAAAAGAATGAACGGCTCAGTAAGAAGCTACGAATACGTTGTACTGTTCGGTTCCATTAAGGACGTGTTTGGTTGAAGGTCGCGCAGTAAAGGGATTTAAAAGGAAAAAGAAAAGTGAGATTATGAAAGGAAAGCGTACGTACTTGGAAATGTGGCATGAAGGTAAAAAAGAAGATTGTAATTGAAATAGTAAGTAGCGGAGAGACGGAAGTGGAGAAAGTGCTGAAGTTGGACGTAGGCATGAAGTGTACTTTGAAACGATTATTTATGTCATTTTTTTATTTTTCATTACTTTGCAGCAATCACACTAATGTTACATTTAGCATTTGAAAATACAATATGTAATTTGACTATTATAACAATGATATTTGGCGTCTGGTTAAAGACCTTAAACACATGGCTATTAATGGCAACGCAACAAATTTAAGATCTTGGTCAAATAAAATGTGTATTTATCAGTTCGGTTCAATCTACATTTCTAGGTGAAATTAATTCAAAGTTTTATTCACTTTTAAATAAACTGTATTTCCACAGCTTTTGAAAGGAGCGCGGTGAAGAATTAATATATTTCCAAGTTGAGCCTATTTTTTCATCCCCATTTGTTTGACTTCAAAATAATGATTTTATTGTAAAATTCATACAATTCTTTTGCTATTGTTTGCCGGTTAATGGAAATGATTTCAGTCGGTTGACTGGCTGTATTATTGTGTCAGGTGTCTTATCTTTCAACATATCAACATTTTGCATTTGCCGGTTTTCTGCACCTGGTGTGCGGACTATTAAAAGCATCTTGGGATTATTTTATTTATAATATCGAAAGTATATAATGTTGACAAGTGAGTTGGTGATAATCATGTTTGTTTTGGAAATTTGTATCCTATTTTGAACAACCAATATTTTGCAATGAAGCATTGTATTTTTTAGATTAGTCATATCTTTCTTTGTACAAGAAAATTCCTGATTCTATCGTGCTGTCAGGCTGGTTCACTTACTTAATTGCTGATCTAAGGGCAATAAAATATTGAATTTAATGGTTCCATTTGCCTCTTTGAAAGTCTGTTACTCTGTCATCACAGATACCGTCACAGTGAACAGGTGTGTGTACCTGGTTAAAGCGAGAAGACCGGAGCAGGTCATCAGATTCCTTTCACGCATTTAGTATAATCTTCTTAAGAAGCTGTCCCCACCCTGGAGGGCAATTTTGAGCTCCAACTGCAGGTGTGCTCATACACCAGACTAGAAAAACCATTTCCTAGGAATCTTTGACATTTCACATTTTAAAAAGGCAGATGAGGCAGAGCTCAAACACTTGCGACACAGCGGCAGAGGATGTGTTCTTATTGCATTTTACTGCCAGTTCTAAAAAAAAAGAAAAAGCTCATGGCCAAATGTGGTTGCTAATCCTCTTACAGCTCCTCAATGTGTCTGAGTTTAGCATACAGTTGGCTCACTCGAACCACCTACAGCTGCAAGAGTATTGATACATCGTTTTTAATCTTTAGTGTTAAACCACCAAATGTGAAAAGGTATATGAAACAGGGTTGATGGTCATCCTTATTGGCCTGAAAAAAAATCTGCTTTTTCAGACCATTGATCCTCTTTAATACACCTTTTCACATTTGACGTTGTAAAGATCAAAAACATTTTGACATGCAAATATAATTGTGCTTCCTGACTATTGCGCACATGGTGCCAAGGTATCCTTTTTAATTGTGACGATATTATTTTTGAAGTTGTATACTTTGCACACATTCTCTAATTGCTATTTTTGGCTGCCTTAAAAGGAAACTACTTATCTCTGTAAATCCCTTTACATACACTGTGATAAATACATGATGATTCCTGCCTGGGCCCATGGGTGTGTGCATGACGTCCCAGCCGGACAAGCGCGGGGGCTGAACGTGAGAAGCACTTTGCGGGAGTTGACGGTTGAATTCTCGCACAGCGTCAATCTACCTTGCTGCTTTTCCGCCTTGCGCGCGCGCGGCCCTCACTTTCTCCCCGTGAGCGGATTGGTAGGGGATCCATCCGGATAACGCTCTCATTGGTCGACAGGCGACACGTCAGCCCGGTTGCACTAACCATCACCCCTCCCACCCCCCCCCCCCCCCCCTCCTCTCAGTGCTGGAGGATGCTGGAGCGAAGCAGCAGCGCACCATCAGGACCAGAAGTGCGAGTGGGATGGAGACGCTGAGTGAGGTAGGCAACACGACGAGCCCTTTCTCTTCCCCGCTGCAAATGGCGCGCGCGCGCGACGCGGGCTGAGCTGCACTCGTCCCGCGGAATGCGGCGCGCCGCTTCTGTTGCTGCTGTTTGTTTTTTTTCTTCTTCTGTCATTTCTGCAATGTTTGTAGACTCGCCCCCGTCTGTCCTTCCCTCGATTTCCGCGTGCTCTTTTTTGCGACTGTCCCGGTTAATTGTGTGTGTGTGGGGGGGGGGGGGGTTAGTGGGGGGGCGCTTGTTTGGTCCCCGCCTCGCGGTCACACACCCGTCTGCGTTGTTGAGTGGTGCAGCTACTTTACGCTCGATCCCCTTTGGGCTCCGTCCCATTCACGCGGGCCGGTGCCTCTGCACTTGCCTTTAGAAATGCGTAGGTTGTCCAGGACGGTGGGGGGTGCAGGGAGGTCAAGTTACACGGTAGACATCAAAGTTTAAACACACGTATTTGTGTTTATTCCAATGTCTTGTTTTTGTTGCTTGAAATTCCTCTTATACAGAGTCCTCGGGTCGTGTGTGCTATAATTGACTTACTCGCGTTTCGCTCCAGCCACTCTGCAAATGCAGGTCTGTGGGTCCATGTGTGTATTTTGGCCCTGAGCGTGCGTGCGTATGTGTGTGTGTGTGTGTGTGTGTGTGTGTGTGTGTGTGTGTGTGTGTGTGTGTGTGTGTGTGTGTGTGTGTGTGTGTGTGTGTGTGTGTGTTTTGAGCAAGAAAATAGGAGTGAAAAAAGGAAGATAATTTAAAAAAAAAGTTGTGTTGTATTTGGCTTGGCTGGTGAAGTATTCCTCTTGCTCCATCCTTCATTTTGCTGCTTATGAAATGTTTATTTTTTTAGTAAGAATTGTGTATTTGGGATCGATTATGTGAGGATTCTCATCGAGTCAAACTCTTTATCTAAAACATGGAATAATTCCAAAGCAGTGATACTTTCTCCTCACAATCACATCAGATGACACGGATGTTTAGTGTGATCACGTTTTGAGCATTCTTAGAAACTGTGGGAACTTGTTTTGTAATCTTAATATATTTTGCTGTTCATGAAAATGTACTGTACTTGTACATATGTCAGGATATGGAAGTCTGTGTTAAAATGTGCATGAGGAGGTCAGCAAAATTTCCCTTTAAGACCTATCTGAAAAATACATATATCATTTGAAAAACTGACATTTAGCATATTTACTGTGGCATATACTGTGATGAAAATAATTAGAATATATTTTAATGTCACAAGCAAGCTCTCCAGTTGAGCTCGGGTTTTTTCCTTCCTGCCATTACTTGGACATTTCAGATCAATATTTGGATCAAGCACTAATCCCCCGGTCCTTTAACCACACGAGGGTTTCCACCACGTGTCCATCGGCTGGCACAGTAAGTAACATTCTGTGTCGTGCTGCCGGAAGTACCTTTATGTTTATTTTGTTTCCTGCAGAGCTTGTGCTAATACTATAACTCCCATGTCCGTGAATGTGTCCCACTAATCACATCTCTGCAAGGTGTAATTAGTCAAGGGAGTCTATGGCCTTAATCCCTGGTTTAACTGTGTGCAGTTGCTTTGCTTAGTCAGTGTTGCTTACCTTATTACACCGAGTTTATAGTCAGCACTTGTTTAGATGTTGTATGTAGCAGCCAGTGAAACATTCTACTTCTCTCATGATGTCACATAATACATCCTGTCCATTTAGGTCTAGAATCCAACCACTTGGGTATTGGCTAATAATAGGCTCACACGTGTACAGCTTTTATTTCTTCTGGCAGCTCTGTCTCTTGTTTAAAAGCACAGCTTGACACACTCTGCAAACGTATAACACCTCCAGACCTATTTGAGAAGTGCCAGCATGTGCGGCAACAACTTCGATAGAACTTCACCTCTCCACCCTCACGGGCACACACACATGATGCAACGTATGAAGACAATTTTTTGCCATTAGACAAAAAAAAAAGCCTCCACGTCATCATAATTATAAGCTCATTAAAGATGATGAGTTAGCATCGAGGGATAACACCTGTCAATAACACAATTTAGAATCCAAAAATAATGACCAATCCTCAGAATAATTTTGACTTATTGTTTGAAACACATTTTGAAATGTTTATGTATATTGAATTAAGCTTACCATCACAAATTGCTCTTGTTAATTTGCTGTCATTGCTATCACAACAGTGCGAGCATTGATTGTACAAATTATAAAGTCATCTGAAATAGTAGACAAATGATTTCTTCACAAAGCTCACATGTAATTCTGGCTCGGTGTCGGTACATCAGCTCTCGGACACCAAAAGGATGCCTGCTCTTTCCGATAGCAAAGACAGAACGCTAGCTATAGCGCAACTTTGTGGGGGTTGAACAAGGTGAAAATATTCCTAATGTTCCTCATTATTTTCAGAAACTAAGTTTAGAATTTTTTAGGTATACTAAATCAGTCCATATTTGAGAATGCTTTATTAACAGTCCCCTGTTATCCTGCCGTATGGATGGAGACCTGTTCCCGGTTCGTCTGTAGAGAGAACAAGCTGCTCCTCTCCACGACAACAGTGGGATTGAGCTGCTGCTCTATAAGAACGTATCGAACCGATCGATTTATTGGAGCATCCGTTGGGTCTGTGCGACCCGTCTTGTGTGTGTGTGTTTGTGTGTTGTGTGTTGTGTAGCTGGTTCCTCCAATTTGGTCCTGAGAGCTTACAAAGCAGGTTGTTTCTGGACTTCACCTTTGCTGATTTTGCTTGGCTTGGTTTATATTTTAAAATGATTGTTTTGTTTTTTTTAATACATAAAAAACAATTTAAACAGAGCTACAGTGTAGAGTGATGCCTAGCTTCATACTAAAACGGACATTATATGAACTATGTCTTTTTTGGCTTGTAAGGTTGAAATGAGACAGAGAAATTCAACAAAAAGGGTAACAAAATCAACTCTACATCTAGATTGTAATAATATAATACCCTTTAGTGATTTATATGATGGGGCTCTTTCCATCATTATGTTATGATTGATGTAGTTGGTCTACAGGCAATGGGAATGTTCTCTTTTTATTTTGTTTAGTGATAAGCAGTGTTACGTTACGATCAACAATCCTTTTCATTATTGATTCATTTAACAATTGCAAGATTATATGTAAAGCCATAAGTGACTTTTGGGATTTAATTTCTTCTTCAGACCAGAATGATTATTACAAGACGGCAAAAACAACGGAAAAACCCTTAATTAATGAACTGATTGAGGACCGTGATAGGATTATAATTCACACAGTGTCAGATCACTGATCAAAGACATGTAGAGAAGCACTTGTTCACATTGATTATCAGTGTTGAGATAACTCATCATTAGATGCGGCGTACGGACTAATTCAAAACCAAATTTCACTTTGAAGGACCCTGCCTCAACATGTGGGTGGAGGTCGAGGGAAGCAACAGGACAGGTATGCATGCACTTGGTTTGGGGAGAAGGGGGATGCCGAATTGAAGGGATGAAAGGAAGGATGACAGGATGAGTGGAGATCAATTGGGACGGATGAAGGTGCAACAATAAAGGAAAGAAAGAGAGAGAAAGAAAGCATAAATATAAATAAGTTGAACAAATATACAGTTGCTATCCAGTTTTTGATACTATCCAGATGCAGTATTACGTTCTCCAAAGTTGTTTACTACAAGCTGCCTGCGTTTACACTGAATCCCCTGGGGAAAATACCCCAAATGTTTCAGAAGTGATGATTAGTTGCCAAATAGTAAATTGTGCGATAAAACTGCTAATGACTTTTTGTGTGTTGAAGAATCATCCCAGGCGATTACAGCCTCCTCCCACTTCCTAAAGCAACCACTATAAGCTTTCCAGGAATAAAACTGTTTGTCAAACTGCCGATCTGTCCAGTAGAATTAATTCAGCTGTCTGAATCCTATTGAATTGTGTTTTAAGTTAGTTATTACATTATGTCATACAGGATGAAGAATTCAATCCTGGTTTCATTTTGACTCTAGAAATTCAGTCGTTATAAAACATTTCTGTGCATCTTTCGCTAATTCAGCATGTTGTAATAAAACCTGAGAATGCATTGAAATAAACAGCTGTGACTACAAAACCCAGAATCTTTACAAAGCCCTTTGAGTCGCTGCAATCACTTTATTTCTGTATTACATTTATAGAAAAGGAATTACCTGCTGTAAAGAATTTTGTGCATCCCAATGTGCTTCAGCTCAGTCTGCTCCTCCCACTCACATGATGATTACTTTTTGTACGCAATCTTCCTAAACTACACTAAAGCAGCCTCTGGAGGAAGTTAATCACTTCTTTCTTCTGAGTAATTAAACTATACTCACTTGAAATGTGGATTTGTATATCTTATGCTGATGTTAAGCTCACTGTAGGACATTTCAGAGCAGCATTTAGGTCTCGTGTTGTGAGTTTCAGTGAAGCCATTGATTAAAAAAAATCAATTTCTATGAAATGAATGAATCAAATGCAACTTTGTGATATAGAGAAAATAATACAATGATGCGTGACAATACTAAAGCCTGTACTACTATAAAAAATAATATAATTGTTAAGGGAAAACCTTTTGTCAATATTTATTCTTTTTCTCAGACTCATAAATGCTTATAGCTGCTACAGGAAGACACGGTTGTCTACCGTAACAGAGCTGCGTTGTAATCCTTTAACGTAATGCCCTCTGACTGACAGCCCGTCGCACGCAGCTGAGCAACCGCATTGACAGTCAGCAACAGTCTTTGAGCTCAGCTCAAGTCCGATTTATTCGCCTCGCGCTTCTGGGATTCTGAATTTGTCGAAAAAACAACATGTACATTCTGAGGTAACAAATGTCTCTCTTACGGACAAAATGGGCCAACGCAAAAATCTCGGAAGAAAAAAGCAGCAAAATCTTTCTCGACCTACAAATACACACTCAAAGTTGACCTTTGAAGGTAGAAACTGATTATTATGTTGTGCACTGCTGCACTGTGAGTATGTTATTGTACCTGCATATTAA